TGGTGTTTATTCATGTATGTGAACTTGAACTGTGTATTGCACAAAATAAAATATCTAAATATATTTTGATGTTTTGCGTCATGCTCTTTTCTTATATATACATTTTTTATCGTCTAACCACTTGCCTAAAAAAATGATAGTAATTTCAGCTTAATAAATGTGTAAAAAACAATCAGCAAATTAGATTGTCATTGATCATCACCCATTGATCAAGTGTAAATATATTATTAATTCTCAGCATTCCCAGCATTTTAGGTGAGCGGCTCGGACTGTGTTTAACAATAAAAAAGTATCTATTTGAACGTGACATGGATATTCTTCTGAAGCGTTTAATTAAAATCGGATTAATCAGCTCAAAAAGGCATAACAAACCGGGTAAGACAGTAGGTGGCCCGGTGGTCTGATTCCCATAATCGAATGAGCGGCATTTAACGGAACCCCCCGAATTCAAATTCATTTTATTATGTAATTGATACCTTTGAGGGTAGAAATCCGACTCGTTAACCAAATAAAGAAGATTGTTTAATTTTTAATTATCATAGCGGCTGATGTTTACCAATTTATTTTCCGCTTGCCAAATATCATTTACCGGTGATTTCGGGTCTTAACAAAAGCAAATTCGAAAACAACATTCTAAAAGTTTTTAAATGAATTTTCATAGACTAACGACTAGTTCAATGATAATTTGGGTTGAATTTACTTTATTAATTTTAGGAGCTTTTAAAGTGCACTTTTAGTTTGTTGGTACATTCATGTAAAGATCACACCCTGTAGATTTCTTCAAATGTTTAATTTTTGTATAATTTGCTATTCTTTTTCAAACTTAAAAAATAAACAATGATCATATATTCAAGTCTTCTTCTGCGTAGAATTTAAAAATATTGAACTAAAGAAATGTATTAAACCAATATGAATATCTATATATTTATCAATTTATCTAAAATCTACAGGGCCAATTATTACATACTCTCACTGAACAATTGAAAAACGTTTTAACGGAATTTAAAAACACGTGCACGTGGTTGCACTATTTTCCAAATGTTGCAAATTAACTCAAATAAACACAGCCCAAAACGCTCTATTCTAATAATTCGCTAATTCGCTCTTAACAATGGAGAGCAACATCTGACAAAAAACATAGATACAATTTGTAAATTTTGAGCAAAAAATAAGTAAATGCAGAAAAAGCTGCTGAATTACACAATATAATGTTTGTCTATAAATAGTTCTCGTATATCTTTGGCTAAAATACCAATTTACTTTTCCATCCTATAGAATTTAAGAAAATTATCCCACACTTAATGGCGTCTGTTTATTAAACTTTAACTTTCTTACCTTTTATTAAGCTCTTTCGTACCATTTTACTCTAATAATTTGCTTTGTAGCTTCTTTCTTCTTCCTTGTTATTATAGTTACAATAAACATTAAACGATGTTATATTTTGATCTGAAACATTTGCTTCATAAAGCTTGTTCACAGTTAAAAAATAAGTCGTAAGGAAGACGATTGCTGTTCTGTTTACGAAATATTTGGACTTTTTAATAAAAACGTTCAATTGCTAAATTCGTGAATAGAACATCGTCCTTACAGCATATTTTCTAATAAATTAAGCAAGTGTTCCAGTAAAAAAAATTAAGATTGCATATGTTTACTCACATTTTTAAAATATGGAAATAAATTAAGAAATTAATTATTATGTAGGAGAAAAGCGTACCCAAACTAACTTTATGGCCAGCAAAACCCGATGTGTGATGAAAATGAGAAAAACGACGAAATGTGTGTTGTGTGTGTTTCAAATTGTGGTTCATGTGTCCTTTAGTGGAATAGTAACCAATTACTTCGAATTTTTCCTTATTTGAATCAAATTTAGGATAATTTTAAGCGAAGCGATTTTTAAGCAGACAAAGTTGATGTTATTAGTTAGAACGTAAAAAATTATGAAATATGCATTTAACGTCCCAAAACCATTTGCGCCGTAAGTATGATCTCGCTTTCTCTTTCAAGATTATTCAAATATAAACTAACCAGAAACCAAATTTCGACTTCAAAATTTTAAGCAATTAAAAAAAGTAAATTTTTCGCATTTTTGTGTCATCTTCCTTCGTTGTTATAAAAGGATCGGAAACCTGTTGTTCGAAGAAGATCAGAATGTTGGGAAAAGGTCAAAACCCCTAATTAATAAAATTAACTTTCTGGATTTTTGAGAGGATGATTCAGAAAGAAATGGAAATATTTTGAAACTATTTGTAGAAAACCAAATTAACCAACCCTAATGCTAAATGGTCGCAACTCGAAAAAAAAAATTATTTTTGCATCAATCATTCAACGGCAAAACATCGTACATTACTTAATATGCTGCTAACAGATAATAATGAATAAACATACAAAAATAAACAACAGATAAACATTTAAAAAACATTACACTAGCAAGCAGTTTTTTGTGTCTCCGTTAAAAATTTACTAAATTGCTTTACGTCTTATCAGCATTAGGTCATCGATATATGTACGTTTAAGTCCGAGTTTCACAATTACTTTGGTTAATTGTAATTTAAACAGTAACTAAAAAATTATTAGAAAACCATCAAATCAAATAGCAATTTAATAGAAATTTTCGAAAACATTGCCTCCCATTTCAGTACGGTTAATTGCGCGTTTATAAATTGTTTTAGAAAATGATGATTGGCTTTACTGATCGCTGCAGCGTTAAAAATGCGAACTAGTATCGCATTCCTTTCCCCACTTCTGTGGCCTAAAACAACGATTTTCTCAATCCCCAATGACAAAAGTCTAGTAGAGTAAAATCCAGTTATCTCGGTGCCCAAGGGTTTAGCTTATTCAATTATTTTGAATAAATAGTTTCAAGCGTTGTTTAAACAAAATACATTAAGTACTTTTTATTTAGTGGTAGTTTAATATTCTTTCAGGGTTTCTGATACCTTAAGTATATTTGTTGGTTTTCTTTATCAAATTAGTAAAAATTCCATTTAACATATTCCACTATAACAAAGCAATGGACCAATGAATTGTGAAAGTATTTTTTTCCTATTTTCTAAACCAATCATACAGTCCAAGTCCCACATCTTGTCACATAGATGATTATCAAATCACCCAATCAAAAACGAATTCTATTCAAATTATAACATATAAACTCGAGTGGCTTTTTAGGGCCACTTGTTATCCAACGACACAATGGGACGACTGGAAATAAACTAAGCCTGTTTGGAAACAGTGAAAACATCCCCTAAAACAGACCTAAAAACTTCTAAACGAGATACAAGCTGGCAGTGTGTTATCGGACTGAAAATCTTGACAAGCTTTATCGCAAAAGGTGATCTTTAAGAACATAAGTGGTTTTCTATTATTGTATTGTTGCTAAATTAGTTTTGGGGTTGCGATTATGGGCTGGATAGAATAACATTTGCTTGTGCGGTTTCGGATGCTTTTAGCCGTAAGTTGCGTTTGTACGGCTTTAAAAAGTAAAGTGTTTTTAAATGTGTATTCGTTCACTCAGTTTTCATAGTCAATTAAGTAATATTTAAAACGTTTATCAAACTTAATTGATATTGCATTTGGTTATCGCATTTATGTATTTGATTTTTCAGTTTCGTAGATTCTTTGAAGTGTAAGCCATACTTATAACCATATTAATTATTAAGGTTTATTAAAAAGAAAAACAACAGTATCAAATTTTAAATACGGTTAAAAATTAAATTTTAGTGACTCAAGAAAAATTACTTCATATTTTTTAGAAGATTCTTCTTCATAGAAGCAAAAGCTGATTGATCTCTTGAATCTCTAATTTAAAAAAATAGATTATTCCGCGAAAAGCATAATAGAAAGTTGTCTGATTTGCACTTTTATTATATGATTATTGAAATTGTGACTTACTCGCTAAATATGACCATTGATATTTATATTTAGCCATTTTTTTAGTTTTTTTAGTCTAGAGTACAGAAAATAGTGGAGTAATAAAGATGCCTCTGAAAGGTTACCAGTGTAAAATTGCATAGATACTTACAATGCGTTAACGACGAAACTGGCAAATTAATTTAAACTGTACCTATTTTGGGGGAATTCATTCAAATAATTCTATTACATTTTCTAAATAAACATATTTGCTTTTTTGTACGTTACTTTTTATTCAAAGAAAGTGAGATATCGGCAATAATTGAATTTTTTTTAATATTAAAAATGCTGTTATATTTTTGTATTCTACAATAACTACTGTATGAAAAAAAACTATGACAAAAAGTATTCAGAATTTTTCGTGAAATTTAAAAATTATATAATAAAGTTCTGTTTACGATTTAGAGGTATTAATTAACGTGTTTCCACATTTCTACAAATAAACTTGTCTTCTAAATTTAATATGAACGCCTTTCCTTCATCAAGAAGTATAATGTAAAATATAAGCAAAAACTCGCTTCAGACTTCGAAATAACATGATGACAAAATCCGGAAAAGGATGCAAGTTCAAGCTGAAAACTTCAGTTTTAAACATTACATTGCAAGAAAGTGTAAGTACGATCTAAAACGTTGACTTAAGTTTACTGAAACATCTAGATAATATAATAAATTCTGAATTTATTCAATTTTCATTTAGAGCGGCTAAAAGCGCACTATAATCATAAGTGCCATTAAATTAATCTAAAGAAGATAAAAATAAATTAGTCGCTAGTTTTAGTATTTGTATAATATTCTTCCATTTGTTAGTTAATATTTTCATCACTTCTGTCCATGTGGGATGGACAGCAAAGAGATTAAAAATTCAGAAGCGGTAACCAGATCCAATTCAGGCGTCCGCACAGCGGTAAACAAACATAATGGGGCAAAACAATTTTCCGTCTAATTGGTCAGACATAGATCCGATGGAACATAGAGATACAATCTCTACTAACCACCCAAAATGGTTCGGTGGGGGATATAAAAGAGGGTTGTTGAAGATGATACAGTTTAGTAGATTTTTTTGAGCAAAGAGATACTAAGTTTCTGTTCGTACTATGATTGCACGTTCGACGGATGATCAGCAAAAACCAAATTTACTTATTGGAAATCAGGAACAAAGCGCGAAAATGTCTGATTTTAGTATTGATCACATTTTAAATAGAGCAGGAACCAGTGAAAACTCTAAGACTTGTGATGATACTAGTGGGGTCAAGTTTCGTTGGTTGCAATGCTCCAGATATTGTCCCCCAAGAGTTCCAAGTAAGTTTTTTGAAATTGTTTTTCATAATAGAAACTGTGATTTGTAGATATGTATTTAAAATTATATTTTTCCTTCAATTGCTGTGGCCAAAAATATCCAAGATAAAATGGTTGGTGGCTCAAGTTCTCTATTTTAAATTAGGTATACTTAAACAGATATTTGTGGTAATTGACTCATTTCACGGCAAAAAGTTATTGCGCTCCTGCAAATAAGCAATTTTTTATTTCAAATTTTAAAATCCAAGATTTTACAGAAGTGTAAATATATTCAAATAAA